TTATGCGCCAGTGCCCATGACGTACTAGTACGCATAAATTCTAGCGCCTTCAAATCTAGTGAGAGAAAGCTGGTAGGCCTACATATGAAAGAATGGGTCTATGTAGTCAGTGTGTGCAGTATAAAAAAAATCCTGCGGCACACAGTGCATAATGAGAAAAAAAAAACTTTGACCGTGTTTTTGGATTAAAACAGCGACTTTGCACTATATTTTCGTATGGTATTTATTGTTGTATTCTAGTTTTCCTGGTCTCTTTTTATAGAATGGAAGACATATTACAGAAATTGAGATGATTTTGACTGGTTTTACAATTAAAAGTACCTTGAAATTGAGCTCAAAGTAGCAGAAATGTTTGATTTTTACCAAAGTTCAAAAGTAAACAAATCATGCTAAGCGTCTAATACACGTCAACTGGTGAGTCTAATATTCTTTCAAAGGTGTGCCGATATTATTTATACCATTTCTACACTAATGCAGTAGTCTGCATAACAGTAAATCTTCTATTTTTTGTGAGAATAAAAATTCAAAGTGGAAAGCAAAAGAAATGTAAGAGGGGCCTGGGGACAATGAACAGAGGAAATGTTACTTTAGTGCCATTAATGTCTGTCTTGTTTATTCTGGAACCTATTTGAAAATTGGCATCTTTTGAAATATGTGTGAAATTGGCAAAATTGCTAAATTCTGACCACTGTATTGGATAGTTGAAATTGGTAAATTGGTGGTTTCTTGTATTCATTCGATAGAAAAAATGGAGTTCTAGCGAAAGTTATAATTTTTGTCGACTAGTACATTGGAATTGGCTGAAAATAGGGCTCAAAGTGGGCAAAATTGCCTCTGTGTAAACATTGTTGAGACTGCTAACTTCGCTAGAGCATAATTCCATAAGTTTTCCATCAAATTTCATTCTTTTGGCGTCATTATGATCGGGAAAAGATTCTCTATCTTTTCATAAGAAAAAATAATTTTTTTTTTTTTTTAATTTGGGGGACCCTGAGAACAAGTCTCTGAGAGGGCCTGTGGACCCTGAAAGGGTTAGAAGTTCCTCAAAATATTCTTGCCATCTACCCAATACCTCCATCCACTAACTCTTCTACTCTGTTTTTAACTGACATATCCATTTGTTCCTAGGCTTTCTTAACTTGTTTAACTCGCTCCAAAATTTTTTATTATTTTCATTCAAATTTCTTGACATTGCCTCTCCCACTCTATCATATGCACTCCTTTTGCACTCTCACCACTCTTCACCTTACTTTTACTCTCCATGTACTCTACTCTTCATATAACACTTCTGCTTTGTAAAAACCTCTCATAAGCTACCTTTTTCTTTTATAACACTCTCTACTTCATCATTCCACCAATCACTCCTCTTTCCTCCTGCACCCACCCTCCTATAACCACAAACTTCAGCCCCACATTCTAATACTGCTTTTTAAAACTATTCCAACCCTCTTCAAACCCCCCCCTCCCCCCACTACTCATACTTGCACTAGCCCACCTTACTGCCTATAGTTGCTTATATCTCACCTGAACTTCCTCCTCCCTTAGTTTGTACACTTTCACCTCCCTCTTACTTGTTGTCATTTTCCTCTTGTCCCATCTACCTCTTACTCAAACTGTAGCTACAACTAAATAATGATCCGATATATGAGTTGCCCCTCTATAAACTTGCACATCCTGGAGCCTACCCATCAACCTTTTATCCACCAATACATAATCTAATAAACTACTTTCATTACGTGCTATATCATACGTTGTATATTTATTTATCCTCTTTTTTCATAAAATATGTATTACTTATTACCAAACCTCTTTCTACACATAGCTCAATTAAAGGCTCCCCATATTTATTTACCCATGGCTCCCCAAATTTACCTACTACTCCCTCCACAACATTTTTACCCACTTTAGCATTGAAATCCCCAACCACAAGTACTCTCACACTTGGTTCAAAACTCCCCACACATTCACTCAACATTTCCCAAAATCTGTCTCTCTCCTCTACACTTCTCTCTTCTCCAGGTGCATATACGCTTACTGTAACCCACTTTTCACATCCAACGTTTATTTTACTCCACATAATCCTTGAAATAATACATTTATAGTCCCTCTTTTCCTGCCATAGCTTATCCTTCAACATTATTGCTACTCCTTCTTCAGCTCTAACTCTAATTGAAACCCCTGACTCAATCCCATTTATTCCTCTTCACTGAAACTCTCCCACCCCCTTCAGCTTTGCATTATTTATTCTGGACCCTGTTTTGAAATTGGCCTTTAACTTTGTGACATTGGCCAAATTTGTAATTTCTGATCACAGTTGGGTAGTTGAAATACGTCAGTGGGCACTTTCTTGTACTCAGTTGATAGAATAAAACGAGTTCTAGCAAAATACCTACGAGTGTGATGGACTGGAACAATAGAATTGGCCCAAAATAGGGCTCAAAGTAGGCAAAATCGCCAATGCATAAATATCGCAGAAACCTCTGACTTTGTGAAGGTGTGATTCCATAAGTTTTCCATCAAATTTTGTACTTTTGGCTTCATTACCTTGGGCAAGACTGAAGAGATGCTGCCTGTGTTGAGAGTAGTTTTAGACAGCATCTTTTTCCAGATTCTGTTATTTCATAAGAAAAACTTTTTTTTTTTTTTTTTTTTTTTTTAATTCTTCTACCCTGTGAGCAAGTTTACGAGCAGGGGTTGTGACCCTCAAAGGGTTAATATTTATTCAAATGTATCCATATACATTTCACCTCCATGCTGCACCCTTCTAATCTAACCTTTCCTTTCATGCCCTACATTTAATCTTTTTACCTAACTCTATTTTTATATTCACTTTGAACTATTTTTACATGCTGTCTAAAACTACTCCCAACATAGGCAGCATCTCTTCAGTCTTGCCCAATATCACTTATCTGCAAATAGCAGCTGTGATAATTCCATTTATATTGTATGTGTAAACCCTTTCTCCTTGGGAAAGTGGAACTAAATTCTTCTTTAACCCCTTGATTGTCGAAACCCCAAATCCTGAGGTGTCTCCTGGTGTCGAAAATTTTTCGAAAAAAAAAAAAATCTCATGAAATAATAGAGAATCTTTTCCCGATGGTAATAACACCAAAAGAATGAAATTTGCTGGAAAACTTATGAAATTATGCTCTTGCGAAGTTATCGACCTTGGCGATATTTACGAATTGGCGATATTGCCCACTTTGAGCCCTATTTTCCGCTAATTCCATTGTTCCAGTCGACCAAACTCGTAGCTATTTCTTTAGAACTCCATTTGTTCTATCAATTGAGTACAAGAAACTCCCATTTATCGATTTCAACTACCCAATAACGTGGTCAGAAATTTGCAATTTGGCCAGTTTCATGCAAATTAAAAAATATGCCAATTTCAAAATAGGGTCCAGAATGAACAATGCAGACATTCCTGGCTCTAAAATGCTCTAAAATAACATTTTCTTTGTTCATCAGTCACGTCTCCAGGCCCCTCTGATGTTACTCATGCTGTCTATTTTGAATTTTTATTCAAACAAAAAATAGAATATTTACTGTTATGCAGACTACTGCAATATTGTAATAATTGTATAATGTCAACTCATTCGTGACTGCATATTAGAATGGCTAGTTGGACATTTATTAGACAATGACATCATTTGTTTACTTTTGAACATCTGCAAAAATCAAACATTTCCCTTACTTTGAGCTCAATTTCATGGTTCTTTTCATAGTAAAACCAATCAAAATCACCTCTATTTCTATAATATATTTTCCATTCTATCAAATGAGACCAAGAAAACAAGAATACAACCATAAATACTATATGAAAATACACCACAAAGTCGGCGTTTTATTCCCCCCAAAAAACGGTCGGAGTTTTTTTCTCATGCACTGCGTGCTGCAGGATTTTTTTTATGTGGTGCACATTGATCACATAGACCCATTCTCTCATATGTAGGCCTACTAGCTTTCTCCTGCTTGATTTGAAGCTGCTAGAATTTTGGAGTATATAAACGTCGAACACAGGCTCTTAAGACGTATATATACGACCAAAACAGTCAAAGGGTTAAGGCACGCGTGTTGTAAGAGGCGACTAAAATGCCGGGAGCAAGAGGCTAGTAACTCCTTCTCTTGTATAGTAAAATTCTCTTTCCTGACAAAAAAAAAAAACCCTGCTTTTTTTTTATATATAAAAACTAGTGTTCACTAACTTCTAACCAGCTGTATTCCACATAATTGAAATACTAGCCATAGTGCTTTGTAACCTTTCAAAATCATCTCTTCCATCATCATACCTTGTCTTAGCCATTATCAGTCTAACTTGTCAGACTGTGAATGTTTGACTTAATAGACTATAGCTGTTATACAGGTGATTATGACGCGATCTTCTATGACATTTTCGCTATATGACAGTTGAAGAATTATGGCAATTTTTCGATTGTGACATTGTGATTTTTTCTTATCACTGTAACTATAGGAAAAAATAGGTAAAAGCCCATGAAAGAAGGCTAATACCCACTAATTTCATTGTACGTAACTACACATTACTGTGCCATTAAGTCCTTCACTTACCTTAGCTGTATTTTCACAAATGTGGAATGTGTTAGTGATTGATATTAAAGTGTGGAAAGTACAGAAAGTAAAAGAAAAAGTGAAGGGATAATCTTGACGCATCACTGTGATAAATGTTTGTTTGAAATTCACTGGGTCACCACAATATATGTACACTGTGTCAGAAAGTCAACAAAAGTGATTAAGTTAGTAGTTTCCTGTACCAGTCACTATATGCAGTGTTTTCATATCCTTTGCATCATCAGTGCAAAAAATGTGAGGATACTGAAGACAGTGTTTATATACAAATTGAGAGTGACTTCTTTTCTCTATCCACCACTATTGCCATTACTGGCCACCCAGTCCTCCCAATTAGTCTGTTAAATAGTGGGTTTTGTGTAGTACATTATTACTCTTACATTAAATTACTGCTAATTTCATGCTTCTTGTTGCAGGTAACTAAAGGTCTTCGCACAGCTATAATGAGTAAACAGTATGGCAATGAGGACTTTTTGGCCAAACTTGTGGCCCGTGCATGCATCTCAATTCTCCCAGAAAAGACAACATTCAATGTAGACAATGTTCGGATATGTAAAATTCTTGGCTCTGGAGTCCACAAGTCTGAAGTGGTTCAGGTAAGATTTTTTTTTTTTTTTAGCGTGATGCTGTATTTAGCCCAGTAATTACAAGCCAGTTTTGCTGACCTAATCTTTTATGAGAGTGCCATAACTTAACATTGAATATAAAATCTTATTCTTATCCAAGATACAGTTATGGAGTTTTTAATTTGTATTTTTTCACAACTTTTCAAATTCATGTACAGTATACCAAGTATCTTCATGACCCTTATACATTTAGGCATGAAATAAAACATTCCTAATGCTCAAAATGGGTTTGTATAGACATTAGACATTCACTTTATAATTGTAATGGAGAAATATATTATCCTTGCTGGATTTCATTAGTATAATTTTCTTTAAAACAAGTAGGTCTTAGACAGGGATGTGTAATGTCACCATGGTTGTTTAATATATTTATAGATGGGGTTGTAAAAGAAGTAAATGCTAGGGTGTTCGGGAGAGGGGTGGGATTAAATTATGGGGAATCAAATTCAAAATGGGAATTGACACAGTTACTTTTTGCTGATGATACTGTGCTTATGGGAGATTCTAAAGAAAAATTGCAAAGGTTAGTGGATGAGTTTGAGAATGTGTGTAAAGGTAGAAAGTTGAAAGTGAACATAGAAAAGAGTAAGGTGATGAGGGTATCAAATGATTTAGATAAAGAAAAATTGGATATCAAATTGGGGAGGAGGAGTATGGAAGAAGTGAATGTTTTCAGATACTTGGGAGTTGACGTGTCGGCGGATGGATTTATGAAGGATGAGGTTAATCATAGAATTGATGAGGGAAAAAAGGTGAGTGGTGCGTTGAGGTATATGTGGAGTCAAAAAACGTTATCTATGGAGGCAAAGAAGGGAATGTATGAAAGTATAGTAGTACCAACACTCTTATATGGATGTGAAGCTTGGGTGGTAAATGCAGCAGCGAGGAGACGGTTGGAGGCAGTGGAGATGTCCTGTCTAAGGGCAATGTGTGGTGTAAATATTATGCAGAAAATTCGGAGTGTGGAAATTAGGAGAAGGTGTGGAGTTAATAAAAGCATTAGTCAGAGGGCAGAAGAGGGGTTGTTGAGGTGGTTTGGTCATTTAGAGAGAATGGATCAAAGTAGAATGACATGGAAAGCATATAAATCTATAGGGGAAGGAAAGGGGTAGGGGTCGTCCTCGAAAGGGTTGGAAAGAGGGGGTAAAGGAGGTTTTGTGGGTGAGGGGCTTGGACTTCCAACAAGCGTGCATGAGCGTGTTAGATAGGAGTGAATGGAGACGAATGATACTTGGGACCTGACGATCTGTTGGAGTGTGAGCAGGGTAATATTTAGTGAAGGGATTCAGGGAAACCGGTTATTTTCATATAGTCGGACTTGAGTCCTGGAAATGGGAAGTACAATGCCTGCACTTTAAAGGAGGGGTTTGGGATATTGGCAGTTTGGAGGGATATGTTGTGTATCTCTATACGTATATGCTTCTAAACTGTTATATTCTGAGCACCTTTGCAAAAGCAGTGATAATGTGTGAGTGTGGTGAAAGTGTTGAATGATGATGAAAGTATTTTCTTTTTGGGGATTTTCTTTCTTTTTTTTGGGTCACCCTGCCTCGGTGGGAGACGACCGACTTGTTGAAAAAAAAAAAAAAAATTCTTTAATGTAAATTACTATGCAACATGTATATGATGTGCAGTATTGCAAAGTATAAGGTACTTGGATGAAGGTGGCAAGGTTATATGCTTGGACTTTCTGCCATAAAACTCGTGTGCATATGCTGTGCAAGAATTCCTAGTCAGTGATATAAGCTGCTCTTCCCACAGTGCTTGGCTATGAACCTAGCACATCTTTTGGCATTAATGGTGGGAAAATTTTCCCTTTTGTTTAACCCTTTGAGGGTTTCGGCCGTATTAGTACGGCTTACGACCCAGGGTTTTTGACGTACGAGTACGCCTAAATTCTAGCGCCCTCAAATCTAGTGGGAGAAAGCTGGTAGGCCTACATATGAAAGAATGGGTCTGTGGTCAGTGTGCACAGTATAAAAAAAATCCTGCAGCACACAGTGCATAATGAGAAAAAAAAAACTTTGACCGTTTTTTTGGAATAAAACAGTGACTTTGCACTGTATTTTCGTATGGTATTTATTGTTGTATTCTAGTTTTCTTGGTCTCATTTTATAGAATGGAAGACATATTACAGAAATTGAGATGATTTTGACTGGTTTTACAATGAAAAGTACCTTGAAATTGAGCTCAAAGTACAGAAATGTTCGATTTTTACCAAAGTTCAAAAGTAAACAAATCATGACAAGCGTCCAATACACGTCAACTGGTGAGTCTAATATTCTTTCGCAAGTGCGCCAATATTATTTATACCATTTTTTACACTAATGCAGTAGTCTGCATAACAGTAAATCTATTTTTTTGTGAGAATAAAAATTCTAAGTGGAAAGCAAAAGAATGTAAGAGGGGCCTTGAGACGTGACTAATGAACAGAGGAAATGTCATTTTAGTGCCAGGAATGTCTTTCTTGCTTATTCTGAACCCTATTCGGAAAATGGCATCTTTTGAAATTTGTGTGAAATTGGTAAAATTGCTAAATTCTGACCACTGTACTGGATAGTTGAAATCGGTAAATTGGTGGTTTCTTGCACTCATTCGATAGAAAAAATGGAGTTCTAGCGAAATATTCATGTTTTTTGTCGACTAGTACAGTGGAATTGGCTGAAAATGGGGCTCAAAGTGGGCAAAATCACCGATGCGTAAACATCGCCGAGACCGCTAACTTCGCGAGAGCATAATTCCATAAGTTTTCCATCAAATTTCATACTTTTGGTGTCATTATGATCGGGAAAAGATTCTCTGTTTTCATAAGATTTTTTTTTTTTTTTTTTAATTTGGCCGACCCTGAGAACGAGTCTCGGAGAGGGCCTGTCAACCCTCAAAGGATTAAGTATGCTGACACTAAGGATAATGACATGGAACGAATTATGGATAGAGATTTTGGAATGGGAAAACTTGGTTCTGAATTTTATTATTCTGTGATTCTTTCTTTCAACACACTGGCTGTATCACACCGAGGCGGGGGTGGCCCAAAAGGAAAAAACGAAAGTTTCTCCTTTTACATTTAGTAATATATACAGGAGAAGGGGTTACTAGCCCCTTGCTCCCGGCATTTTAGTCGCCTCTTACAACACGCATGGCTTACGGAGGAAGAATTCTGTTCCACTTCCCCATGGAGGTAAGAGGAAATAAACAAGAACAAGAACTAGAAAGAAAATAGAAAAAAACCCAAAGGGGTGTGTATATATATGCTTGTACATGTATGTGTAGTGTGACCTAAGTGTAAGTAGAAGTAGCAAGACGTACCTGAAATCTTGCATGTGTATGAGACAGAAAAAAAGACACCAGCAATCCTACCATCATGTAAAACAATTACAGGTTTCAGTTTTACACTCGACTGGCAGTACGGTAGTACCTCGCTGGGCAGTTGGTGTCTGCCAACCTACTACCTATATATTCTGTAATTATAATTTATATAATATGACAGTGATTGGGTCACAATTGCAAGTTAGCAATGATAGTGTAAATTTTGTTAGAAATGGTATGTTTGTAGCACTGAATAACAAATAATTAGGAGTGCTCAAGTAGGTATGTCACATAGAGGAAATACAGTGGAACCTCGATTTTTGTGATTAATCCGTTCAAAAACAAGTCTGACGAAAACCAAATCGTATGAAAACTGAAGCAATATTTCCCATAAGAAATACTGTAATTCCAATTAATCCATTCCAGACACCCAAAAATATTAACAAAAAATACACTTTATAGTATAGGTAGTAGGTTGGTAAACAGCAACCGCCCAGGGAGGTACTACCGTCCTGCCAAGTGAGTGTAAACGAAAACCTGTAATTGTTTTACATGATGGTAGGATTGCTGGTGTCCATTTTTCTGTCTCATAAACATGCAAGGTTTCAGGTACGTCTTGCTACTTCTACTTACACTTAGGTCACACTACACATACATGTACAAGCATATATATACACACCCCTCTGGGTTTTTGTTTCTTTTCTTATTAGTTCTTGTTCTTGTTTATTTTCTCTTACCTCCATGGGGAAGTGGAACAGAATTCTTCCTCCGTAAGCCATGTGTGTTGTAGGAGGCGACTAACATGCCGGGAGCAAGGGGCTAGTAACCTTTTCTCCTGTATGTATTACTAAGTGTAAAAGGAGAAACTTTTGTTTTTCCTTTTGGGCCACCCCGCCTCGGTGGGATACGGCCGGTGTGTTGAAAGAAAGAAAGAAAGGATTGCTTGTGTCCATTTTTCTGTCTCATAAACATGCAAGGTTTCAGGCATGTCTTGCTGCTTCTACTTACACTTGGGTCACACTACACATACATGTACAAGCATATATATACATACCCCTCAGGGTTTTCTTCTGTTTTCTTTCTAGTTCTTGTTCTTGTTTATTTCCTCTTATCTCCATGGGGAAGTGGAACAGAACTCTTCCTCCGTAAGCTATGCGTGTCGTAAGAGGTGACTAAAATGCTGGAACAAGGGGCTAGTAACCCCTTCTCCGGTATATATTACTAAATTTAAAAGGAGGAAACTGTTGTTTTTCCTTTTGGACCACCCCACCTTGGTGGGATGCGGCCGGTGTGTTGAAAGAGAGAAGACATTTTATAGAGAATAACTATAGTTTTATATACAGAAAACAATGAGAAATAAATATAAATGACTAATGAAATGGATAAATGAACATTTAACTTCACTTTTACCTGTAATGAAAACTCTTGTTGGCACATGGAAGATGTCAAGGTGAGGTTATTGTTTGGAAGGGGAATCCCTGTCCATGAGGAATTCTAGTATCAAGGCCTATCTGGGGTTACTTGCCTTCTTTGTCTTTTACTCACACTAGGACCAGCTTGAGAGTCACTGGACCCCTTTCACACAAAAAAAATCTGTCCAGAGAGGTCTGTTTCTGGCTTCTCTTTAAGATTTGTCTAAAATGAGACAGCATTGTCATTGAATGTGATGCAGACACAGCTTGCAACAGCTTTGTTAGGGTGATATTTCTCCACAAAACTTTGCAACTCATTCTACTTTGCACACGTCCTTAATCACTGAAGAAGGCACATTCTCCCTTCTTTTCCTCATCTGAAGCAATTTCTTCAGCTGTAGTCTGGTGCTGTTCCAGTTGAAGGTCTTGCAGCTCTTCAGTGGTTAGCGCTTCCCTGTGGTCATCCACCAACTCTTCCACATCCTGACCACTCATATCCAACCCCATGAACTTCCCAAAGACACAATAGATTCCACAACAGATAAAGGGTCATCAGGGTCAGCCTCAGACCCTTCAAAATCACGAACGCACAGGATGCTTTGTGTGGGCGCTTGATTCCAGGAAATGAGTGGCAGAGTCATGTGGGCAGGTGAACAAGTTTGGTACGGACCATTTTCAACTGTACAAAAACCGAGCAGATGTACGAAAAATGGCACAAAATTTCGGCGAAAAAACTTGTCAAAAACCGAATTGTACAAAAACTAGGGCATACGAAAACCAAATTGTACAAAAACTAGGGCATACAAAAACCAAGGTTCTACTGTATTAAAATTCTTTAGAACTTGAAGAATGTGCTGATTTTTCATAGTGTAGTTCCTGGGTCTAAACAGATAACTAATTTGAGAAAAGGAGCTGGAACTAGTCATTCTAATTAATTCCCAAAACTATATATTTTTTTTTTAAAGGTTAAATGTCTTGAATGTTTTCTAACATGGAGATTCTCCAGTAATTAATAAATTTAGCTTAAACTTAATGATATTTTTTCTGTTTCTTTATTAGCTTAAATTGCATTTAAGCTCTCATTGTATCTTCAGCTGTTTCATGTGATTCAAAGGCCAGTTTGTAAAAGCTAAATACGTATTTCCCAAACAGGGTATGGTGTTTCGACGAACGGTTGAAGGCTCAGTTACGTCAAAGGAGAAAGCTAAGCTTGCAGTATACTCTTGCCCATTTGATGTAACCACCACAGAGACTAAGGGAACAGTTCTGATTAAGTCTGCTGATGAGTTGCAAAATTTCTCACGAGGAGAAGAGAGTAAAATGGAGGAAGATGTAAGTACCTCATTATGGTTGTATCATCCATTCTCGACATTACAGTATTTTCTAACACTGATTATCTCGCTGCTTGGTTTGTACTGGTTTCATTTGGTTTTATATTCCCCTTTCTAATTATAAAACACAATTTCTTTGTACAGCAACTTGATTAATTTTCCATGTGATGACTAACAAGTAGGGTTTAACCCTTAAACTGTCCAAACGTAGATCTATGTTTTTTTTTTTCAACATTTGAAAGTAAGTAAAAAAATGTAGATTTTTTTTTTTTTTTTTTTTTTTACATTTGAAAACTTGTAAAAAAAAAATAAGAAAAAAGCTTGATCTACTTTGTTCTTTTTTTGTTATATTTGAAAATATGTAAAAAAAAAACGTAGATCTACTTTTCGACCACTACGTATGTGAACGTAAATCTGTTTGGACAGTTTAAGGGTTAAACTCAGCACTCTAAAATCAGATTTTCTTTTTCATGGAAAGTACAGTGAAAGTAAAAGTGAATACAGGAATGAGTAAGGTTATGAGGATAACAAAAAGATTAGGTGATGAAAGATTGGATATCAGATTGGAGGGAGAGAGTATGGAAGAGGTGAATGAATTCAGATATTTGGGAGTGGACGTGTCAGCGGATGGGTCTATGAAAGATAAGGTGAATCATAGAATTGATGAGGGAAAAAGGGTGAGCGGTGCACTTAGGGGTCTGTGGAGACAAAGAACTTTGTCCTTGGAGGCAAAGAGGGGAATGTTTGAGAGTATAGTTTTACCAACGCTCTTATATGGGTGTGAAGCATGGGTGATGAATGTTGCAGCAAGGAGAAGGCTGGAGGCAGTGGAGATGTCATGTCTGAGGGCAATGTGTGGTGTGAATATAAAGCAGAGAATTCGTAGTTTGGAAGTTAGGAGGAGGTGCGGGATTGCCAAAACTGTTGTCCAGAGGGCTGAGGAAGGGTTGTTGAGGTGGTTCAGACATGTAGAGAGAATGGAGCGAAACAGAGTGACTTCAAGAGTGTATCAGTCTGTAGTGGAAGGAAGGCGGGGTAGGGGTCGGCCTAGGAAAGGTTGGAGGGAGGGGGTAAAGGAGGTTTTGTGCGTGAGGGGCTTGGACTTCCAGCGGGCATGCGTGAGCATGTTTGATAGGAATGAATGGAGACAAATGGTTTTTAATACTTGATGTGCTGTTGGAGTATGAGCAAAGTAACATTTATGAAGGGATTCAGGGAAACCGGCAGGCCGGGCTTGAGTCCTGGAGATGGGAAGTACAGTGTCTGCACTCTGAAGGAGGGGTGTTAATGTTGCAGTTTAAAAACTGTAGTGTAAAGCACCCTTCTGGCAAAACAGTGATGGAGTGAATGATGGTGAAAGTTTTTCTTTTTCGGGCCACCCTGCCTTAGTGGGAATTGGCCAGTGTGCTAATAAAAAAAAATAATAATAGTGACTGGCTCTTATCACTTACTTGGTTACCAAATAAGTGACAAGGGAATGGTAGTCAGTACAGTGGACCTCCAACTTATGATATTAATCTGTTTCAGAGAGCACATCGTAAGACGAAATTTTCGCAAGTCAAATTAATTTTCCCTGTAAGAAATAATGGAAATCAAATTAATCCATTCAAGACACTCAAAAGTATGAAAAAAAAAAATTTTAACGCATGAAATATACATTTTCCTACACACAAAAAGAAGGATGCATGCACAATATATATTGTGCATGTACTAGTGTACTAAATGAAGATTAAATGACACCTTTATTGAAGATGTAGTGATGAGTGATGAGACACTGTCCTGGGAGTGCCTTTTCCTCCTGAGTAATGTATACAGGTCCTGTTTGGCATTTTCTTCCAGAACAGGCCTTATCACACTGTGTATGCCACTATGATTCTTAAATCTCTCAAACCAACCTTTGCTGGCCTTAAATTCACCAGTATGAGCACTAGTTCTAGGCATTTTTTCCTGTTCACCTGGGTGTTAATCGACTGGTGTTTGTTGCATCCTGGGGGACAAGATTAAGGACCCCAGTGGAAATAAGTTAGACAGTCCTCGATGACACTGACTTTCTTGGGTTATCCTGGGTGGCTAACCCTCTGGGGTTAATTGTTTCTCAGTATTCTTGATAAGCCCATGGTGGCTTAGCAGTTACAAGCACTAAAAACACTGGAATAATACGAAATTTATCGAATGTATGCGTGCAACCGTCCGCCCTGGCTTGTAAACAATGTCACACTGGCTCATCTGAGGTGCTCAGGCCAGATGGCTGCGTTCAGGATGAATGGTGTAAGTCGAGTTTTTCAACGTAGGTCGGGGTCAAATTTTTGCGCTGACAATCATCATAAGTTGGTTTTATCGTAAGTTGAGGCTATCGTAAGTCGGGGGTCCACTGTATTTAGCTGAGAACATACACTAAATACTGTCTTCTGCATGCCATTGCCTTAAGGCAGTGGTTCCCAAACTGGGGGTAAATTACCCCCTGGGGGTAATTTAACCATTTTTGGGGGGTAATGGAGGGGTGACAGAAAAAAAGTTATGAATTCTGAAAATCAAGAAAACAATGCGGTACCCGGTATGAGGATTATTGTTAACTTTGTCTTAGTATATAAAGTTGTAAAGTAAACCTATTATAAGTAATAATAAGTTAAACAAAAAACAATAAACATCAAAAAAATATACATATTAGAAAAGAAAAATATATAGTAAGTGTGTGGAAACTCAAAAGTATTTGACAAGTATGCTTCAGGACAAAGTCACTCAGTAGCCAGATCGTCTGTCCAGACCGTCACTTTACTTCCTGAGGCTGCTCTATTTCACACTGTCATTTTTCTGTGAGCATCAGCCGAGGTAGACATAAGTGGGATGTATGTGTACTGCCTGTGCAGTATATATTAGTATTTACCCACTGATACTGTGAATTTGTAGCTATTATTAATTTTATATATAATGTATGTGTGGTTCTTAGTTTTCAATGGTTTTTTCTAGGATTAGCGAGTAAGCAGGCTTTATAGTTCTCGTTAAGCCATATATATCATAATAACAACATTTTGTGAAAGGGGTAACATGCTTTATGTGGCATGTTAAATTGGGTAACAAGCTGAAAAAGTTTGGGAACCACTGCCTTAAGGTTAGAAAAAACCTCTACTTTTGCTAAGTAGTATTTCTTATAAAGATTTACTGATTTTTTTTTTTTCTCTCCATCATCATTTGGAGAATTTGCATTTAGCATATTCATGCAGTATGCAAGAAATTTATGAATACCTAATTATTTAACTGTACCTTGTTTTATTATAATAGGTGAAAGCTCTGTCTGAAGCAGGAGTGACCGTAGTTGTAGCTGGTGGAAAAATAGGTGACCTTGCTCTTCACTATCTCAATAAATACAACATTATGGCAGTACGTCTAACAAGCAAATGGGATTTGCGCCGCCTCTGCAAAACAGTTGGTGCAACTGTCTTACCCAAGCTAACCTGTCCAACTCCAGAGGAAATTGGATTTTGTGATCATGTCTTCTTGGATGAGGTTGGAGACACTCGGTAACATTTTCAGGTGAGATTAAGCAGTGTGAGATAAACCATAATTCACAAACACCTGGATCCAGTGTATGGTTTCAGGTGTTTGTGAATTTTTTTTTTCAACAAGTCTGTTGTCTCCCACCGAGGCAGGGTGACCCAAAAAAAGAAAGAAAATCCCCAAAAAGAAAATACTTTCATCATCATTCAACACTTTCACCTCACTCACACATAATCACTGTTTTTGCAGAGGTGCTCAGAATACAACAGTTTAGAAGCATATACGTATAAAGATATACAACATATCCCTCCAAACTGCCAATATCCCAAACCCCTCCTTTAAAGTGCAGGCATTGTACTTCCCATTTCTAGGACTCAAGTCCGGCTATATAAAAATAACCGGTTTCCCTGAATCCCTTCATTAAATATTACCCTGCTCACACTCCAACAGCTCATCAGGTCCCCAGTACCATTTGTCTCCATTCACTCCTATCTAACACGCTCATGCACACTTGCTGGAAGTCCAAGCCCCTCGCCCACAAAACCTCCTTTACCCCTTCCCTCCAACCTTTTCGAGGACGACCCCTACCCCACCTTCCTTCCCCTACAAATTTATATGCTCTCCATGTCATTCTACTTGGATCCATTCTCTCTAAATGACCAAACCACCTCAACCCCTCTTCAACCCTTTGGCTAATACTTTTATTAACTCCACACCGTCTCCTAATTTCCACACTCCGAATTTTCTGCATAATATTCACACCACACATTGCCCTTAGACAGGACATCTCCACTGCTTCCAACCGCCTCCTCGCTGTGGCATTTACAACCCAAGCTTCACAACCATATAAGAGTGTTGGTACTACTATACTTTCATACATTCCCTTCTTTGCCTCCATAGATAATGTTTTTTGTTTCCACATGTACCTCAATGCACCACTCACCTTTTTTTCCGTCATCAATTCAATGATTAACCTCATCCTTTATAAATCCATCCATTGACACGTCAACTCCCAAATATCTGAAAACATTCACTTCCATACTCCTCCCCAATTTGATATCCAATTTTTCTTTATCTAAATCATTTGATAACCTCATCACCTTACTCTTTTCTATGTTCACTTTCAACTTTCTACCTTTACACACACTCCCAAACTCATCCACTAACCTTTGCAATTTTTCTTTAGAATCTCCCATAAGCACAGTATCATCAGCAAAAAGTATGTGTGTCAATTATCATTTTGTATTTGATTCCCCATAATTTAGTCCCACCCCTCACATTAACACCCTAGCATTTACTTCTTTTACAACCCCATCTATAAATATATTAAACAACCATGGTGACATTACACATCCCTGTCCAAGACCTACTTTTACCGGGAAATAGTCTCCCTCTCTTCTACACATCCTAACCTGAGCCTCATTATCCTCATAAAAATCCTTACAGCATTTAGTAACTTACCACCTATTCCATAACATCTGCCACATAGCTCCCCTACCCACTCTA